TGGTCCAAATTTCAACAGGAGGTCTCGCACCAAGAGCTTGGTGTTGCTTCAATGAGTAGAGCCATCCAGTCTCACAGGCTTCCTTTTGTTTTAACACTGGCCACGCTGGTTTTGAAGCTTACCATGATGTGAGAAGAAGAGTCATCCTGTGATCTCCCCGCACACAATTTCTCTACAGCATCTGCATCATATTGCTCCTGCTTCTGCAGTAGCTTCAGCTCTCCTGGCTGCTTGCCTTGTGCAAAAACTGCTCATTTCCTTTATGATGTATTGAGATTTTACAAGCAGGAGCACAGCATCTCTTCCAAAGATTATTTTATTTGCTTATATCCTGAAAATCCCACCAGGAAAAAGGAATCCATGTAGGGTAATTTAAAACTGCTCCTAAAATAATGCCAAGGCTGTACTAGTCTTCTGTTAAAATTACATATCAATCCCAGCTAAAGCAAAAAGTAAGAATATATTCTGCCCTTGCACACTAAGAGTTTTCAGGGGGTGGGGGGTTGTGTTTTGTTTTGTTCTTAAGGTCTACATCCATACATTGAAAAAAATAGATGACTATTTATATAGACTCTCTGTAGACATGTTGAAGCTTTTCAGACAAAGAGATTTTATAATCTAAGACAGACGCACAGCAAGGGGGGACAGACAACAGGTGGGCACATGTGAAGAACGAGACAATGGGATCACACAAGGGGCTTACGGGATGCTCAAGTCGTTAGTTCATTCATCTATATATGGAACATGTGGTATGGAGCAGGGCTTTGGTTTTGGGGTTTTTAAACATCACTCTGCTATCATTTAGAGAGTGTCAGAGTGATGAGAGAGAGTAGCAAAGGCCACTGGAGAGGAATCCTGAGAATGGACCTGAAGAGCGCTATCGTGACCCCGCACAGCGGTGCTGACTCCATCCCTCTGTCCAACACCCACCTACTGCTGATTTTCACCCTCCTTAAGAAAGGGAGGGTGACTGTAGAACGATCCTTCAATTCAGCAATTTATGAACTTCCCAATCTGGAGGGTGCACCCAAATACTGGGTTTGTTATCCACCACTGCAGCTGTTCTCCCTCCATTTATCTAATCCTTCTGGGAATCCGCTGTACAGCTGTTGCACTTTTAGGTCATTGCTGCATCCTGGGGCAGTGAGATCCCCTGCTTGGTTTCACACTGGTGAACGAGAGCTTCCCTTTGCTCTAAGGCAGTTGCCTCAGTTTTATTAGATCTCTCTTGATCTGAATGCAGTAAGCAACAAAAAAATGTTTCCTATTCATTTTCTCCCCCCTTCACTGATGACTGATTGCCTTCCTCAGCTTAGAAATCATGCTTATCACCAAAAAATAAACCCAAAACCCATTAACTGCAAGGACTTCAGAGTAGGAAAGCAAAAACAGTGAGATGCCTAGAAAGCATGACCCTCCAGAATGGATTTGGGCTACCTATCATACAGAGGACAAGACCAGAGAAGAACACTCCTACAACCTGTAGAAAATTGCTGCAAAACCAAGATGGCATAATCTCTCTTTCATGCCTCACAGTTCAAGAAGTAGTAAACCTACAAAGGACTTTTCAACCATGTAACTTGGGTTTCGTAGAGAAGGAAGGACAGCAGTACCTGGGGGAGGTCTAACAGTAGAAGAGGTTAGATAAAAATCCATCAGAAATAACACAGCTGAAGAAGAACTTTCTTAAGAGGAAAAAAAAGATAGACTGGTTGATTTCCTGAGGTTATCACCAGCCCTGTGACACTGTGATCCTTTCCCCTTGGCACCTGAAGTTGTGTTTTGCAAGTTGAACCATCCTAATGCATAATCTATCTTTGACCTTTTAATTTCCACTGGAACCTTTATGAGATGGAACGGTCAGACTGGTACATGGTTTCCAAGACCCAATAGTACCATGCATTTACCGGTTTGAGAACAGCTCAACGCCACACTGCTCACTTCCTAATGAGGAAGAATTTTTGTGCAGTACAAGATACAAAAACGTTGAAGATGTATAACACCAAAAAAACCCCCACACCAACAAAGCAAGATGACTTTCCTTGGAAGTCCTATAAGAAATTAAAAGTAAAGAGAACTGCCATGGTGAAACTATATAGTTAAAAAAAAAGAATAAGCAAATGCAAAAAAAGTTTTGGTTTTAAAAAACTTATGGTTTAAATATCATGCAAATTAAGGAGATGCCTTTTTGAGAATGTATCCCATGTATTTTCAATTAACTTACTTTTTTATCCATATATAGCTAATTAATCAGTGACCCAGCATCTCTTGAAAACAACACAACGTTGCCTAATGCAGAAATTTATTGCAGAGGAGCTCCTCTGCTGATCGAGAAGACGAAGCTCCCCGTTCAGTGCTAGCCCTTAGCAGGGTACAAAAGCAGGACAGAAAATTTAGCCATACAGTCCTGATGAAGTTTTAAGGTGACTTAGGGCTACCTGAAATACAGCATTACAATGCAGAGGAAAGAGGGCAGCTGTGTTACACATGAACAGGGGAAGATAATGCATTCAGCTCATATTTAGCATGTGCACTCTTAAAACAATGAACACTGATATTTCTGCAAGCATGATATTACAAAAAATACCCCAAAGCTAAAAGCACACGAGTGAAGATACATACGAGAAAGAATACGGAGGCCATTTACTTTATTGCTGGTTGCACGTATGTTCAAAGACCAGCACTATTGAGAAAAAGACCAAGATCAAATAGAGAATGAATAGCTGGAACAAAACACACTCTCACCACTGGACCCACGGATGATTCCCTAGGGAAACCCTTACAAAGAGGGCTCAGTATTTCTCAAATAAGTTTCTGTGTATATTTTTCCCATGTGCTGTTTTATAGATCACATAGTAATGGAAATCAAGAGAGATCCTGAGGGTACAGAGATGGACTTCACAGTGCGCCACCAACAAAGTAGCTGTTTGTAGAATGGGAAACAGCAACAAGCCTTTGCAAACAAACAATGTGGAATTCTTGGCTAGAAACAATAGCTTAAAAAATAAAATATAAAAAAAAAAACCAACTTCTTTCATGGTATTTCCAATGGCCTTATCCTGCAATCAACTGCTGGATTCATCCTTGCCATGGAAAATGCCACTGTAATAATACGGGCGCTTCTGGTGCCAGGACACCACCTCAAGAAGGTGTTCCTGCAAACACATGTCCATTTGTAGGATGGAGACCCACATGCGTAAAGCTAGAACCCTGCTAGGAAATACCAGAGGTAGTTTCAAATGAGTAAATAAATGTATGAAAAGCAGCAGAGTCAGCACACTGAAGTTAAGAGATGTTCCTTCTTTTCTGGAAAACTTGCTTTTCAGAGCTATTCCCCCCCGCCCTTAATTATAACTTCATTTTGTCTAATGCCCATTGAACGGTCTCCCACTCTCCTAGACTCCCAGAAATGTCCCTCTCAACAGGTCCAGCTCCACTTAACTCAACTAGAAGATTTGCTGTAGTGGTCTCTGGAGACACTCCATGCCTTTTTAGGTGCCACACAACTCGGCCCCATTCACAAAGTGACTGTTCTGGGAGGCTGCTTTTGGTTTCCAAATCAAGGTCACACCTTGCTGCTGCAGCAAGGGATGGCACAGCAGTCTCCCCTGCCTCTGTTCTAACTTGTGTAGGAAAATGAGGAAGGTTCTCTGACCTCTGGCACAGATTAAGTTATTGTTGTGCTTTTTTATATGCTTCAAATTGTGCAATACTTTTCTTTTAAGGCACAGCAGCCAATCTTCAACTACAAGCCCACCTGGCCCCTAAATCCAACCTCTAGGTCCTTTTTCTCCCCAGAAACCTGCTAGTTTCCTTCCCACCACTTACCCACATCCTGGTCCTACAAATGGCTTTTTCCACATACTACTTATTAAACACAGTTTTTCGAGAAATAGGTAAATTCCACCTTTCTCTCATCTTCTGCACAGCTTTAAAGGCCACAATACTTGGAAAGCCCATTCCTAGCTGTAACCATTTTACTTTCTCCATTCCCAGCTCTAACCATTTTCACTTTAGTAAGCCAACCAAACCTGGATAAGTTACTGAAAAAGAATCAAGCTGTGTGTTTGCTTACACAGTCTTTCAGTATTTAGTGAAATTGGTAGTTATTTTTCACTACTGTTCCTGCTTTCACCTGAACACCTTACAATGCTCTGATTTTCATTTGCTTTTTCAATATTAACATTTCACTTGCCAACACTGGGCAGACACCTTGTGACTGCAGGGTCAGATCTACATTAGTCCTCTTTGCTGATCATACATGCTCTCATACACAACACTACCTGTGATGAGAATCAATGTCAGATGGCACACTAGAGTAGATGCTGCTACAGCAGACGTACTTCTGACTGCAGTGCTTATTTTTGTTTAAGAAATTGGTATAAGGTATACCAGGAAAAGTACATCTCCTAGTGCAAAACATGCTTAGCTTTAAGCTTCCTTGTGTTTTTAATGTACCACACTGCTCCAGTATACCCAAATAATTGTCAAACTTCAAACGACTAACCTATTGCTACATGAAAAACGAAGATATATATATATATTCAACCTATTTTTTTTATTTTTTAGATAGAGGAGAGATGCTCTAGACAAAAGGAGACAAGACGACACGTGGTTTCACAGAATCCCAGAGTGGTTGAGGTTGGAAGGTCCAACCTGAGGTCATCTGGTCCAAGCCCCCTGCTCAAGCAGGGATACCTACAGCCATATGCCCAAGACCATGTCTAGACAGCTTTCTCTTACCTTCAGTTTTTGAGCTTCTCCTCTAACTTTCAGCAGCTCCGTGATGGAGTCCACAAATCCCTGGTAATGGAAGTTGCACATTTTCTCAATCTCACGATCATGGTTTCTGATTCGTGCTTCCAGTTTCTCCATGAAACGACCATGTTCTTCTCCATCATAGACAGACCTAAAAAGAAGATGCCAACATTGGTCAAGATTCCAACATCTGTTAACTGTCATTACTTACAAGAAATATCCAAAGTATGAGCTTTAAAAAAAAAAGCCTCCTGTGATAAAAGGACAGTTCTGCTTTTTATTTGCATACATCAGGCACCAAACTCAGGTTTGAACAATCTTTTTATTCCAGGCCTTCTTTTTCCACCTGTCAAACATCAGCTTGATGTTCCCTCAGAGACCACAACATGGCCAACTCAGCGCAAAATGATCTGAAACAAAGTCTTCATGCTCTTAGTGATCAGAGATGGCTGAACTTGATCAGTTATCATATGCTGTAATGCTAAGGGCTCCTCTTGGACACTTTTCTGGATGTTCTTTGGGCTTCAAGGGTAAAAGCTAGAATGGAAAAGCATCACCTCAACAGCTGCCAAAATCCATTTCCCTTCCCACCCCCAATTTTGCCAGCACAGTTAGCCCTGTTGCTGAAAGGTCAACACAGCTGAAGACTACCCAAACTGATGGGGACACTTCAATCCAAGATACAGTGTACATCATGCAAGCTGCAGGTAACCTTTGGTACAACCAAACAAAAACACTAGTGTTAAATTTAAGGGTGGAAGTTAAAAAAAAATCTATCCTTCATATTTTCTTAAATTCTACCCAGCTCGGAAGAGAAGCTTGAATTGCCAGGTTAAAACACTTTTTTTTTTCCCCCTGTCCATTACCAACGCACGCTGTCTGGTAATGATGATTATTTCCAACCGTTTTGTAAAGCAGCCCAGAAGGCAACTCTCTCATCTGCAGAAAGAGATGCTGTGCAGAAGCAACAGATCATGACTGCAAAATAAGCACATGTTATTCTAGAAAGCAGAGGGATTGTGTCACACCCTGAAATGGTATGGGATTTTCAGGGGGTTGTTTTCTTTGGATTTTTTTATAGTAAACACAGATAATTTCTACGGAGTGTGGAAATCCCAACCTTAGACCTGTCTTTGTTAAGTTTTAGTATTTTGAGGAGCCGTACTAACTCCTAAACCTGAATTCTCTCCCAGTCCAAAAAAAAAATTAAGCATGCAGTGAACTTTATGGAATCTGAGCTTGTACTGTGTCAGAAAGTATGGCGAAATTAATTATACACTGGACTCTATGCAACAACTAGAGATAAAAGATGGGAAATGACAGAGCTGTTACAAGCTGTAAGAATAATACATAAAAAAAAACTTACTAATCGCAGCAGTGACAAGCAACATTTCAGAAAGAACCAGAACTAGATGAATCCAACTGGGCAAGTTAAATCTTTCTGCCTGCAGAAAGTAGTGTGATCCTTCAGCGTGATCTGTGTTCACAAATCACTTTGGAGAATCCCACCTCTGCAATCCACAAAGGTCTCAAAGTAATACAAAAAATACCAAGACAGGAATAAAGCTGGAGGAAATCTATTTAATTATCATTCTTTAAAACCTGCTCTAGCAATTTCAATCACACAGTTTCAGTAAACCACTCTCAATGGCAAAACAAAAATGCCAAATCTTTATAAGCCTATTTAAAACTCAATATAAAATAACACAGTCACAAAAAGTAGAAGTCTTCACAGATTACCATATTGCCTTCTTTATTCCCAGGTAGAAGTTGGTTGGTGCTAAAAGTGAAAAGGAGATATAACTTCCTAAAATTATATGAATGCCACCACT